ATATCTGAAGACCCTAAAATATCAAATTCACTTGCAAATTATTCTTTACCTTAATATTTAATGAATTAAAACACAAAGTAGAATGTGAGCTCTAGTTTTAAAAGAGGGGAGGAAAAAAACAACCACTAGGTCTAGAGGCTCCTCTGAGTTGACTCAGCCTAGTCAGAAAGAAAACAGTTTTTACACAACTACTGTTGCCTTTAAATCGACTTTCTTTGTACCACAGAGAAAATACAGAATGAGCTTTCTAAAATTTTGTCTCTGCTCAGTTCCCACTTTGATAGATTCCTTTGTAAAAAGCAGCCAAGGTTCTTCTATGACGAAAAGTAAGTGTCCATTAGCAAATAACTATTCATTGCATTCACTCTTTGAAGAAGGTCAGCTATGACAGTTGTTTAGATCAGAAGTGGAGTTAGTCTTTCCTGGGTACAGAAATGCCTGTGCTAACATCTTTTGATAAAATAGGAAATTGTGTATTTGTGGATTTTTAATGAAATAAATAGCTGTTTCTGGAACGTAATAATCTGTTTTTCCCCATTGTACTGTTATTTGTCTTTATAAAGGACAATGTTGCTATTATCTTAATGTCTGGATTTTAGGCATTGTTATGCTCCTAGACAACTTTCCAAAAATTAGATTTACAATTACAAACATCACTGGTTTTCAGACTGACTTTTTCATGACGTACCTAACACAGCACCTACATAAGCATAACATAAGCACCTATTCTGAAGGACAACGGAGGGAAAAATCTAAAATGCTGAAAAATAGAATCTCAGATTTAGTGTCACTTACTTGAAAATTGTTCTGACAGCTCCTGAAGTTACCTACATATCATAGAACTGCAAGACTGTGTTTCAGTGTACTATTGTGTTTAACAAAATTAATATGCTTGATTTTTAAAGCAACAAGGCCTCGCAGTAGATTCGATGCTGTAAAGTTGTATCTCTTTTTATTAAATACCTATTTTGCTGTACATCCCGTAGTACATACCGTAACAGAACGAGGAAATGCAGGTTACTGCAACTTCAGCATTTAATTTAGAAGGAAAATGTCAAACTGCTCTTCCTGGTTTATTTTTTAATAACATTAATGGTAACAGTGTAGAGTTACCCTATCAGGGTGATCTGGGATAGCTGAGCTTGCACAACCCGAGAGATCATTATTGGATTCAAAACACTAACAGGAAATGTATAATGACGACTTAACTATGAGAAGTTAGGAAAAATTATGCCTGTATTGTTTAAGATGGAGGTTGCAGTTCATGTCAACATCCTAAAATACCTGTTTGTAAAGCCTGTAGTACATTTGAATTACCTTGTTAATACCTGATGTGTTAACTCCTTTAAGCTAATAAGGATTTTTTTTAACTCAGTCCAAATCTACTTTTTGCTCACTGTTTTTAGCTCTAAAATGATATTAGCAGCAGGACTAGGGGGCAAAACCTAATTCCCACCCACATTAGTACTTTAATTTATCAAGTGTCTGATGATTTTTATGAAAGCTGCATCTGCCCATTTTTGAATATCCTTCAGGCTCATAGCTGAAGTAAAAAAATTAATTAGGGTAGAAAGTTCTATATTAGAACCATTCTTTCAATTTTGAGATCATAAAATGTGATCAGAAATTCTTACTTCCAATGCCCGGTGATTTAAGTCAACCCTTCATTAAGAAGGCAGGAGCTGGCTGAAAAATGTTTTCACTTCAGTAATGTACATGCTGCCATTCCTGTGTGCGGATATATTGTCTTTCATCAGGTAATTCCTTCACGTTAAATTTAACATGAAAATTTAAGTGCCTGTTTCCTCTGCAGCTGTGGTGAGAAGTTTTTTCTTTTTTTTTTTTTCGCCTTCATATAATATAGGATGACTTTTTCTAACATGTGACATTTCATGCTGATTAGTCAGCCTGAAATTTTTCTGCCTCAAATAATCATCTCTGATGGTATAGGCATCCCCAAGTCTTCTCAGTCTAAACATTGCTGTAAACCACAATGGAAAAACAGCTTTGAAGTATTCCCAGTAGCAATCTCGGAATTCCTTCAAGTATATTGAGATTTTGTTAGAAATTGAATTGCCAGTGTAATCCATCTTCCTTGTGAGAAAAGATTCAGATAAAGAGCTGGAGCCTAGCAGCATTAAGTATTAGAACATCCCTTTAAATCAATAAGCTACAAATCTGGCAGCGCATTCATGCAATACCCAGTGCTACACTAAAGTGGCTTTAGTGCTGAAACAGCATTACTAATAGCACATCCCCAACACGGATAAACAGTTGAGTGATGTAGTAACCCAGATTATACTAGGCTTTACCTAGTGAAGTTTCACAGGAATGCCTATTGCACTGACATAGATAATAAAGCACGGTATTTTCTTTTCTTTTCTTTCAGATGACTTTCCTAATGTCGTTATAGAAGGCATCCTACATGGAATATTTTATCCTCATTTACTGCCAAGGTAGAAGGGATACGTGGCTAGAAGAAGCTGAATCAAGCCTCCGAGTCATGCTTAATGATACTAGTAAGAATAAGGTTCTGTAATGTGATAATTACATTCAAAATCAAGAGGCACAACCTCAGCTTCAGTTCAAGCATAATATCTTTCAAAATAAAATCAGTCACTACAGTTGCTGCTTTTAAGGAAACAAAAAAAAAAGATATGGAAACAACAGTATAGAAGTTATTTATACTTTATATATAGACATGCTCTAACTATTTAACACTAAAAGCTGAAAGTCATACACTGAATTACACTACCCTTTGAAAATAATTAAAATAATTACTTTTTAATCATTTCTATCATAAGTTACACTAAACTTTTTTGTACCTGGATTTTTCCCAGCACATGTACCCATTGCTGGCAGTGGATATATTGAAAGTGCTGGCACTGAAGAGAGAGCGTGAGAAATCGGAGGGGAAAAAAAAAGGCAAGAAAAATTTGAAAATATCTTAAAGCATTTTAATTTTTCTTAATTTATTTTGAGTCTGCTCCTTAATATTAGATTGGAAAAGAGACAACGCAGGTGTATGGAGAGTTCCTGTTAGAAAACATGCTTCCAATTCTGTAATGCATAGCTTTCTTTGAGAAAACTGTCTAGATTTTAGTCAAAATGATTTTTGATCGACCAGGCGATTTTACATGGCATTTACATGTATGCATCTAATTTCGTTGTGACAAATAATCTGTATGTGTATGTTTACTCTGAGTTGACTTGCAGACTGTATTCCATATCTTAACATTTTATGAGTCACAGAGCACGCAGCTCTGTGGTAAGCTAATGCAAGACAATAATTAATTAGTAACTTGATAAAACATATACATGTATATACATGTACTTGTGTATATATGTATTTGTTCAGATTTAACTGGAAACTGTATATGTGATACTGGAGTTTACAAAATAAATTACTTGGAACTTGAATGTACTGCTTCAGTGTATTTTTTGTGCATTTGTGTTCCAACAAGATATTTCTGAACTTATCAGGGATGGTTCTGACATCGCCACACAAAGCATGATAAAATACTTGGCTGCCTGTTCATCTAATATTCCCAGCAGCACGCTATCCGAATATGCTGCACTTATAAAACAGTGTGACTGAACAGCCGCTATGTCCTTGGGCTAATCAGAGAAATAGTGTTGCACAAAAGCAGTAGCAGCTAAGCTAGGCGCTGACAGAAGTTGGATCCTGGAGACCTGGGTTGCCTGCTGCTGCCTGCTGCATGTTTTAAAGCTGCTTGGAAATGGTGAAAAGTTGGGACTTGCTTAAGAGGTAAACCTGTGACTGCAGGACTTGTTCAGGTGGTAGAGCTCTCTTTCCTGTCTGAGGGATCAACCTCCAGGAAAGGTAGCAGCAGAAAGCTGTTTGGCTAAGGGGGTACAAAGTGTTCTTGCTCTTACTTCCAAACACTGCTTCCTAGTGATGCTTTCTTGAGTCTTACCTGGAACATTTTAGTAGAAAAAAAAACAAATCCACAGCACAACCTGAACAGCGTTAAGAGGGAAGTCTGATTGCCTAATACTAGGCAAATCTGGAGCTTTCCTCTAGTGATGTTTTAGAGAAAGCAATGCTTCACAGATCTCCAAAAAAAGCATCAGTATTTACCTTCAGGAAAGGCCTCAGGACTGTGGATGATGAACCAGCAGAATTATCCTTGTAACTGCAATTGAATTTAAGAGGACCTTTTATAAGTCCCTGCAGTTTTCCTGATTACTTGCAAGCACAGAGGGTGCCAGTAGGCAGCTCTACAAGCATAGTGCTCACTCCTACCCTACGCCGTGCAAAGTCAGAACACCTCGCATGGCCTGCAGGACATCTTCCAGGAGACCAGGCACTTCTAAGTTAAGTGGTGTGCTGCCTTGGGTGCAGGTGGATGAATCCTTCACCAGATCTTGGAGCCAGCTCTTATGTCTCAAGTAAGTTCTAAAATGCTGCAAACCTCAAGAGAAAAGAAGTCCATATCTCTGATGAAAAACACTGTCTAACTCATTAAAGAGACAAAACTGTCCCAAAGTGGAACCTTACGCTAACCTTGTTTAAAAGCTACCAGTTAAGCTGTCAGCTTGTAAGAGTACTTAAGAACCGTTACAAAAATAATGAATCTGAAGTTTCATCTCTAACATACAGCAAAACTGAAAGAAAGTGTCTGAGCTTTCCCATAGATAACATGATTAGCCATGATACAAAATCCACCATGCTGTAGAACCAAGGACTCCTCTGTTTTTATCAGTGTTTAACTGATGATCGTATTTAACAATAGAAAGAGCTGTTCTTCCTTGAGTATAGGATTGTATCTGAACACAGTGCTTTTTTGAAAGACAGTAGGAACACTATCTGACAAGTTAAGATTAGAGAAATTTACCACCCAGCTCAAATCTTACAAACTCATCTGAGAAGCAGCACCCCTTCACAGTTTGTAGAATCAACTGAAGTGAAAACAAATAAATTTTTTAAAAAAAAAGGTGGAAAACAAACATAAAAAAAAAAACCACACACACCAAAACCCTCTTCAGTATTTATTTGAAATCCAAGTTTATTTATTCAAAACATTTGTTTTATTGCCCCCCCCGAGAAACGTATTTAAAAGAAGCTGATACTTTTACAGGAAGTTACATTCTCAGTTGAAAAGCTGAAAACAAAAATTGCAAAAATTTCCAGAGAAAACAACACGACTGTTTCAAATGTTGAAAAAAAAAAACAGAGGTACTTCTAAAATTTTTCATGAGAGACCTTTTCTGCAAGATTTAGGATTTAGCTGGGTATGTCTTGATTTTCAAGGTGTAACAGGTCCATCAAATTATTACAGAAACAGCCCTATCTACTATGTATGTGGCAAATGATAAGCATTGTCTACAGATAGCCTCGTGTTTTAAGGAGAAAACACAATGGCTAATCGAGGTCAGTCAGAAATCTGGGCCCCAAAGAATTAGATTTTACTTTCCATTTCAACTGCTGGTCTCACCAGCCATCTACTTCAACTACAAATGGCTCTTTCACAGCTATTTTGCCACTGTTCACAATCACACAGTCTTGAAGGGGGCGGTCATGTTCATCTGTCTGCTGAAGTTCTATCGAGTGCACCACAGACTGCGTAAAACATAAAAATAAGTTCTGTTTAGTCACAGAAATGCCAATAACTTGAGCCTGGCACCAGGTAAGCACCCAGGTGCTCCTAGCATTACTGGTTATTAAGCAACATCTGAACTGAGACCTTTTCCCTGTTCAGTTCCCACAGACACCTTTTTCCACGGTACCAGTAGTGCCACTCTGGAACCCACAGAAAGTTGGCAGAAGCACATGGCTGGCTGTTTGCCCTTCTATAAAAACAATTTAAGCCAACAAAATATTACCAAGGAGTAACTAAAACTATCCTTTCAGCTGATCAGCCTAGCACATACAGAGTCTTATCTGAGGTCTTTGAGCAGAAGCTGACCATAAGGGATGAGTGGTAAATGTTTTTCTAATCCTACATCACAACTGGGCTTACAGAAATCTGATGACTACTTTCACCTTCAGTATAATTGACACACAGATTTTAAGTGCAGTACCATGCCTGCCAGCCAGACAGGCAGAGGCCTCATGGTAGGCAACTAATTAAAGTAGTATTTTTAAAGGACAAAATTCAGTTAGAAATATTGACTATCTGTCTTTGGATATCTGCCCATTAATCTAACAAAACTAAAACTTAGCCTAAATCTCTCAAAATTTTTCAGCTACTACTGTAGCTCACAAGAACTGCATTCAATATGCAGGAGGGGATAGGAAGGAAAGTGTTCTGATGAGATTTTCAAACTTCCCACAGAACTGATCAGTGCAGCAAGTCATGTTTCCCCATTTATTTCAAAACACAGATTAAATGGAGTAATTTAAAAGGAGAAGTATGATCTGTTGGAAAAAACATTTTTGAACTTAAATATTCCATTTGCAATCATATATTTGATCAGTTTTGCTGCTGTGCACATTTTGAGGATATTAACCATAGATTTCTAACTTTTTAAACAATTTGAATATGTTTGTATACTTTACATTCACATGCTTCTAAAAACCCTGCCAACGAAAGTCTTATCCATAATTAGCATGTGCTACAAAGTTAGATTTTCACTTGTAGAAATACATTTATTTCATGGTTAACAGCAGTACTACAAGGGGAACGTGAGCTTTGTCTATTTGTAATCTGCGAAGGTATTGGTGCTGATTTCAGTGGTTAGTGGTCTGAAACAAGAAGTGTGAAAGCCAAAGGATGACTTAAGTTTCCATTTCTGTAATCATCTTCAGCTATTTCTTTCAATTCTAAATCTTCCAGCTTCAAGCTTTTCACATTGTTTTTCTACCATATGCACATTAGATTAACACCAAGTTGTCTTGAACAATTGAGGGCAAATTATGCTAACACAGATACTGTGCAAATTTTCCTCAATTAATCTTACCATTACTTTTAACTTACCATTCCATCAAGGACTTTGCCAAATACTACATGCTTTCCATCTAACCAGGAAGGCTTTGTCACACTGATGAAAAACTGGGATCCGTTGGTATCTGGGCCAGAATTAGCCATGCTAACCCAACCAATTCCATAGTGTTTGAGCTTGAAGTTCTCATCAGGAAATTTTTCTCCGTAGATGCTTCTTCCTATGATAAAAAAAATATATAAATATATCAAATAATAATAAAAAACATCTTCAAAAATGGGAAAAGCAAAGTACAAATTCAAGATCTAAAGATTAAAAGATCTAAGAATTAATGAATTAAGGAATTAATGAATTTGAGTAAGCTCAGCAACATCACTGTTGCATCATCAGCCACTCTGCAAACTGAAAACATTTTATGTGTAAAAAGTAAGGTAAGATAAAACACCAGATATAAGGAGAGAATATTTTAAGCTGACCATGCTTTAGCCCCTGAATTTAACAAGCAAACTCAGGATCTTTCTTCAAAGGTCCTGCTAACATACAGCACTGAACAACAGTATACTTCAACGTCTTCCACAAATTTAAATTACATAATTATATCCCCTAAAAATAAAGTAGCCATACTTTGTGACAATTTTAGTATTTCCTTTTATAAGATTTTCCTCCTAGTATACAAAATTACTTTAGACGTTTGGGAATGTATGGAGACCAGAGGGAAGCTAGCCCAAAAGACAGTGTGTACTGGTGCAAACATTACATGAGGATTTTGGTGTTTTAAAATAGTTTAGATGAAAAAGCGTTAGTCATGTTTAAGCCACCACCGCTTTGAAAAGAGAATGCTGTCGCATTCTTTATTTGTACAGTGCCTTGCACAGTAGGGGCACTGCTCCCAACACACTGCCAGATGCTATCCCAATAAACAGTATGAGCAGGCAAACAAACATTGCCTACCTTTAATGCTAAAACTGTGTCTTTGGTATTTTAGCCTTCCCCATTGTTCGCTGCAAGGAAAAGGAATGTGTGTTTTCCATTCTGTCCCAGCGGGGAAATCACTAACACTGTATGCAGACAGTTCAAATCGGAGCGCCTAAAGAATATGTGTGTAAAGGAAGAGAAGAAATCAGAAGCCAGAATGCATGCAATGCAAGAGATGCTGCACTAGGGCTGGCTGAACTGCCCTTCCAGAGGCTCGGGAGGCAGAAGTTTTAAATTCACAAGAAGAAAAAAAAGAGAGGGCAACACCCTCATTTTTCTGATTTCTCTATCCCTGGTTTGAAATTCCCTCCCGCAGCACATTTCAGAAAGTTCCACCGAAATGGCTGAGCTGAGGACAGAGAGCACGGACTATGCCTCCCCTACCTGCCTTCACTCTATGCGCTTCCACTCGTTCATCGCAGATTAGTTTTCCGTAGGTTAACTTAAACTGGTTTGTGTATACATGCAGTGACTGCCTCAGGGAAGAAGCACTGCTGCAAAGCCAGCGCAGGGGAAGGTAGAGATGTCCATCTTTTGGAGACGGGATGCCGTGAGAGCTGCTCAGCTGCTCAGGAGGCTCCAACCCACCACGCAAAGCCATGCTGCTTGAACAAGTCAGACAGAAAAGAGCTATCCGCAAAAGTTTAGGACAAAGGAAGCTCTATGTGTAATCTGGTAATCCAAATAGTCTCAGCTTATGCTCCAAGATGCTTGGAAAAGTACTAGATGCTTCCAAAACAAATGTTTTCTTCATTTATGGGAGTTGAAAGAAAGAAAGAAAATGTTGTTTTGCCTATCTTTTCTGTAGGCATTTGAAGAAAGGAGAGGAAAACTGACAGATACTGAGTATGTTACCTCCTGATCCATCTCCAGCTGTGAAGTCCCCTCCTTGAATCATGAAGTCTTTGATCACGCGATGAAATTTACTTCCTTTGTATCCATATCCTCTCTAAGAAAATGAAATACATCTTTAAATGAATATAACATACCGCTGTATGTGATCATATGGACGTAAGCCCATGGTGAATCATTACATGTCAGAGAATACACCACCGCCTGAGAGAAATACTGGCAAGAAACAAACTAAAGTGAGATGCAGGTGAATGCAGCTGGGGTGCAGAGCCAGAGAGCAGGTAGCTTCACCCAACCACAGTGCCTCCCCATGCTAGATCTGCACAGTAGGGACAGACTGAGATGCTGATACCCAACTTCCCATAATTACATCCTGTGAAACATCCTGCAGGGACTTCTGAGCCTTACACAGCAGAGCACTGAGAGCCTGAGGGATGGCTCTCCTGCACTGACCCGCTGAGTTAAGATGGACAGTTCACGGCTGAACTGGCATTTAACGGGTGTTTATTTCCCATATCCAAACTTTAGCACATGGTGAAAGAAAACTGCAAACCTACTTCTCCAGTTGCCAGTGCAATGAAGTTCTCCACAGTTCTGGGGACAACCTTTCCAAACAATCCAATTGTAATTCTGCCAACATCTCTGTCTCCAATCTTCACGTCAAAGAACACCTAGATGTTTTTGTGAAGAGAACACAAGAGATACAAACATGAGTGCAGCAAAAAGACCAAGCTTTTCAAAGTGCACAACAGTAAGAAACAGCCTCTGGCTGATCTATATTAATAGCATCCTTCAGTCCCTGAGGGTGCTGTTTTCCTTCCAGCCATCAAAACCAGATTAGGCAAACTGTCCGAGAACGGGTGGCTACACATTTCGTTTCTAATTGTTTTTAAGGGCTGAATGGCACTGTTATATCATGGGTCTGAAGGCAAGGTTCAGGAAGCTTTTTGCCAGACATGCATGTGTTTAAAGCCATATGGAAAACGTGAAATAAGAAAGGAAGTAAGGAAGAAAAATGCTGCCATTCCAGTGTCACGGGCCATGACAAAGAACTACAGTGCTGATGCATCCCACAGACGACAGCTTGCCATCCACTCGCAATCTTTACTGTTTTAGGCATTTGTATGTATGTGATTAAGTAGAGGGGAGAGCCTACAATTCATTAAATTGACAAACAGTGGGAAGAAAACCCTCCTGCTGCAGCAACATGTCACTTTCCCACATAAGAATTCAATGCTGCCCAGAGAAATAACCAGGCTGCTCTAGGTAGCTGGCTGCCCACAGTCTTCTATGTACGTGTCGCTAAAAAAGCGTACTTGGAACAGACAAAAGGCTTAAAAGGCATTTTAATATAGTTCAGAATATCTTAAGGCATCGCTGAATGTGCAAAAATGTTTCAACAATTACTGAAAACAGGAACAGCTGTCAGGAAATGAGGCATTTTGAAGTTCTGAAAAAGTTACATAAAAACTATTACAACTTCTAGGAAACGGCAATGTGTATTCCTATGATGTGGTATTTGCTGTTCCTTGTGGCACTCGACCAAATATTACTTGTCTGCAACTCTAAGAAATTAGTCCAATAATGATAATAAATGACCACAGGCTCTCCAATGTGAATGTCTCTTTCATGTTCCCCTACTAAACATTTCTACCGTTTCTTGATCTTCCATGTGGTTTTGACTGTTTAACTTTTGGCTAACATTATAAAAGCTACATACAAAAATAAAATAAAATTCCTTTTGGTTCACCTCATTCATTTCCTTGGCACTTGGCACTAAATAACATAATTCTTAGATGTGTGGCTCCCCAAGTATTAACAACAAACTTTCACTGACTTCTTGACATCCTAATAAATGTACCCCTCTGAGTCCTGCCCTCAGGACTCCCTAGCTATGGGCTATCTATCGTCGGCGTAGGTGTTCCCAACACACCTCAATTTCCACGGAAATGTTGTCCAGGGTGCCTGAAATACGTGAGCATCTGGCAACACAACCAAGGTCACGGAACAATGCCTTCAGGTAGGAGCAATATCAAACGCTGCCACGGAGCCCAAAGATGCCTCTGAAACCTACCCCAGGCAGGAGGTCCCACAGATGGCAGAGCTGCTCAGCCAAGCAGCAAGCCCCATACTTCCACGTTGCGTTGCTTGGGCTTACATTTGTGAACACAGAGCAAGCTCCTGGCTTCCCACCTGCACCCCACGCACCTGTCCTACCTGCTTGGTGTTGGGAAGCACTGCGCTTCCCAGTTACACACTGCAAAATGTGCCTGTGCACGTCTCCGGCATGTCACGCCTGCGCTGAGAAGCTGTGCTGTCCTCAGCAAGTCTCTTTAAGTTCTCCGAAAAATCAATGGCACGCTTAGTGAGCTAGCACGGCAGTCACAAATTTCCAAAAATGCCTGGCCAGGATCTTCACTGAAAACTCTCAGAAAACAAACAGGAGGCGTCTGATTAATATTTATGTAAATGTTTAATATTATTTGCAATTTGCAGTAAGCGTGTCATGCCTGAAATGAAAGAGCCCAGGACACCAGCCAGGTTATGGTGAACGTACCTGTACGTGACCGGGAGAAGAGGGTTTACATCAAAAGGAAAAAATGACGAATAGTAATAAATCAGAGGGGGGAAAAAAAGAGGGAAAAAAAAAAAAAGGTTGATTGTTGAAGAAAGGTCTCGTGATTTCTGCTGACCAGGTAACACGATGATAAATGAAACGAGCTCCTGATAAACGCAGCACATTGCACGTGGAAAAACCACCGTAGGGCTGCACTGAGGGGCACCAAAAGGTTTTGTTAGAAATGATTCAGGGCTGAGGAGGGCCAGGGGAGGGCAGGACGGTGGCACGGCACCCTGGGCACCGCACACACCGCCGCAGGGTGACCCCAGCGACCCAGAGGAGGCTCTCGGGCAGCAGGGATGCCCGCAGATCTGCAATGATTGCCACGGGGGGAACAGCAAATAAATCCCTGGGAAAGAGAGAGATTTGGCACGGTGCGAGGGGCTCCCTGAGGCTCTGCGGGCGCCGGGCACGGCGTCCTCCAGGTCCCGAGGGCGATATCCCAGCGGGTGGAGGAGCAGAGCGCTGCCTGACGTGAGGCCAAACCGTGCCATTAATCGCAGATAATCCGCAGGGCAGCCGGGGGAAGCAGCCCCGCCAGTGCGACCCCCCCGGCACCCACCCGCCGGGGAAGGGGGAAGGAAGGGGAGGGGAGGGGAGGGGAGGAGAGGGGGGCGCCGCCCGATGGGATCGGGCTCGTTGGTGGCCGCCCGGCTGCTCGCTCACCTTGGCTGTCACGCTGGGCCCCCTCCTCTTGAATCCCGCAGCCGCCGGGGCCAGGAAGCAGAGGCAGGCGATGGCGCCGAGCAGCGCCGCCGGCCCCCCGCCGGCCATGGCGCTGCTGAGGGGAGCGCCGCGGCGCCTGCGCCCGCCGCCGGGCGGCTCCTCCTAGCGCCATGTGGCGGGGGGGCCACGGTCACCCATCCGCCGCGCGGCCGGAGCGGGCCCTGCTTAGCTTCTGGGGGGGTGCAGGGGAGGGGCGGGGCGGCGGTGGCGGGTGTTGGTGGTGGCTTTGGGGTCAGGGGCAGCCCCCTCGCTGGGGAGCGGCACCGAAAAGAGCTCAGCGAGCTGGTGGCTGCGACCCCGGTGTCTCGCCCGCCAAGATGGGGAGCAGGGAGCCCGGTGTCGCAAGCTGCTTTAGCTTTGGTGCAGCCCTGTCACCTTCTCTGCTCCAAAGTCTTTCACATTTGGGATCTGTCCTAAAAAAAAGTAACGTGCTGACAGTCCCGGAAAAATGTGCGAGCTGTAACACGGTGAAATCTGTGGCCTCCGAAATTCCAGCATATGAAGGAGAAATAATTAACATATACTAACACGCTGCAGTGGCATACGTGAGCGTGCTCAGGATCACACTGGGTAGCTGTGCAAAAAAAAGGCCTGCATGGCACAGCCCCACGACAGAGCCTGGCGCTGGTTCAGAGCTGTCCCGGAGCTGGGGAGCAGTGCTGGAGGAGCAGGGCAGCTCTGTGCTGCTGTGGCCACGCTGCCATCGCTGCCCAGCCCTGCAGCTGGGGGCTGGGCCTGCACGAGCAAGCAGCCGTGGTGGGTGTGTGGTCACCATGCTTGGTGCTGAGCAGCTGATGTGTGCTTTTCGGGTGGTCTGTCCGGCTGACTGAATGCTGACTCACGGCTGAAGAGCGTGGGGCAACATGTCTTATGGTATAGTTTCATCTGAAGGGAATCCAGCTGGTCGTGCCAAGGCCTCTCTGCAGCAGGAGCGAAGCACGGTCAATGGAGACACTGGAAAGATCCACTGCAAAAGTGTTCACCTGGCCCCACCTACAGAGTGCCACAGACGTACCCTAATGCACACCTCTGATTTCCACATCTGTTACTGACACATTTTTCAGTTTTGCCCCGTGTGTAACTGCACTAGTACTCCTGAGTGCAATAAGACTTCTCGTAAGGTGACTCCAGCAAAACCTCAGTTATCAGGCACAGCAAAGAGGGGTTTTCAGTGGTCCCACATTGTATAGCACTGAGTGATCATCTGGTGTAACCAGTGCCTGACTCAGATAGACCCACTGCTCTCAACAGATGTAAAATATCTATGACTGGAACTCATGGGTCAAAAACTAGCCTGGACCAGACTAATCTGGGCCTCAGTTTTTGCACCTCACCTATACAGTGGGTGCTCTCCTTCTGAAAAACTGAGGGCTTTACTGAAACCCTGCCTGCACTGATTAACTTTCAGCACTGGGGTATATGGGACTTCAGGGTATGGTTCAAGACATTTATCCAGTCTCTCTTTACCTAATTACCTGTTTGGCTTAGTGCTAAAGCAAAATCAATTCATATGTAAATAGATGATGGAAGTACTTTGGTCCTGTTGCTAATGGCTGCTGTACATCACATATTCTTTAAATCTGAAAGCAGACCGGGAAATATACTGTTTTATGCAAGATTATTCTGTACATTAGTGCACTTCCAAAGAATATGTGAATGTGAGAGTTTATTCAGAGTAAACCGAGTGTTTTCTCTGCCAGTATGATAAGGTACTGAGAATTTAGCATTATGATTCCATTTCATTACACCATCACATGATGGTGTTTGACTTTCTCTGGAGCAAAGATTTACAACAGAAATATAACAAAATCCAAAGATTTACTGAAATTTGCAGTAGCTGGGTATAAACTTTATTTGTCTGATAACATATTTCTTTAGATAACGAAGTAGTTAAGGATTTTAACTAAATAGTTTGCAACCCACATATATATCTAATCACATACATCTCAAATCATTAAAATTCAGAAGATGAAATCTTACCATTTTCCTCTCGCCACAATCCACTGTTATTACCGTTGCCTATTTAGTATTTATCTGCTCTGAAGATGTATCTTTATACCAACAAACAAAAGTTACAGACTGTGGCATGTTCTGAGAAGTATGATGAAAATGGAAAAAGCTTCCCCTTAGAACATAAAGGAGGGCATGTTAATATTATTCAGTAATTTGAAGGTAATGGTTAGAAGGTGGGTAAGGAAAGACCTAAATGGAACAGAGCATTTCTGATAGCACAGATTCATGCAAGTCATGAGGAAAATATTGACAGAAAGGTGGGAAGAACTGAAGCAGTTACTAATTCTATATCTTGAATCTAAAAGAAGTAATAGCTGATGGGACATTCTCAGAACTATTCAGTCATATTAGTAGACTGGTTCAAATCACAACATGCAGGGGAACAAGCAATGAGCTAGAAAGACAACAGAGAAGAGATGGTCTGGCCAGGAAGCTCCATCTAATACTTCTAATGTGGAAAGGTGCAAGTATGCTAAACAGTGCTATCCAGAGTACTACCCAAAGTTCCCCTTTACTCCCTCTCACTACAAATACTAGTGTTTGGAAAGATGGCTTCCCTGTTTACTGAGGTGTAAATATGTTTTATTTTGTACAAGATTGTATGTGGGATGGGAAGAATGAGATGAGTGCTTCATAGCACTGAAGAGATTTGAAAATAGCAAGATCAGGCAGTATCTGGTTTACATTATTTTGGAAAGTGTATGCACGATAATGTTAATTTTGGGAAGAAGATACAACTGTTGAAATGGGAAATCTATAAAAAAGACAGAAACTTAATATGTTCAATGAATACTCAATATTACATGTACATGGAAAATCTTTTTTCTGAGGCTAAAACGAGAACTACACGTTCTTTTTTTAAGGAATTTGATGTTGTGATTACCAAACTGAAGGTAGACAAAATTCTGACAAACAGTAGGGTTTGTAGTAACTGGAAAGAAAGAATTAGATAGAATTAAACTAAGGAAACCTTCCCTCAGAGGAGGTTTCGGCTAGATATTAGGAAAAAATTCTTAACTGTGAGAATGGCCAGTCTTCCTGGAGACATAGAGCCTGCCTGGAGAATGAAATGGTCTTCCTGGAGAGGTGCTCCATGCCTGACAGTGTTCAGGAGGCATTTGGATGGCGCCTTCAATGACATGCTTTAACTTTTGGTTAAACCTGAAGTGGTCAGGCAGTTGGACTCAATAATCTTTGTTCAGACAGAACAAACAGAACTATTCTAATTCTAATTCTTTCAAACTGAACTATTCTAATTCTAATGGCCCAGATGAAACTGGGAAATACTATTTTTAAAAAATATGATTTCTCTATTTCTCTGATTTATTACTCACAACTATCTTCAAGATTTTGCAAACTCTTTGCAAAAGCAGACAGTACAGTGTGTTGAGAACTACACTGAACTCGTGGATATGCACAAGCACTATCTGTAAAGTACAAAATCAGAGGAGGATCTACAACAGGAGACCATTCTATCCTCTTCCATCCTCCCTAGGCATGAACAATTTGTTCACCTCTTTGGTGCAGCTGATTTGAAGACTGTTATCATTTCTCCCTTCAGTTTTCTTTACTGTAGACTAAACAACCCCAATTCATTCAATCTTTCCACATGGGTCAAATACTAAAGCAGGCGTCATCTGGCTGTGTAGCTTTTAGTTGAAATATTACCTCTATCCTTAAATTGGGGTGGAAGTTACAGATAAGCGCATTTTGTGTCTTTTCTTTTCCTTTTTTTTTTTTTTTTTTACTAAGTGACAAAAGGCTGTTGTAGCAAAAAATTACATTGCCCATTAAAAGAATGTGTTAAAACTGTCTTGTGCTTGTAATATTGTTCACAGGATGTTCTGTATTTTAGTGCTAGCGGACATGCACTATTTAGAAGCTTGTTGTCTTCTGAAGTAATCAAGCCTCTAAAAGAGTAAATGGCTACTGGCTGACAACCTTCAATTTAAGTAATAGTATTTGTAATGAGGTGGTTCATTGCTTCTGAGGGGGTCTTTACCGTTTTAAATGGGTACAGAAGAGAGATATATTAAGCGTATAGCATCTGACAGCTTTTGATTTCTAGTGTTAGTAGCATTGGCAGTAATTCTAGCACTTCCTTTCAGCTCTATGGCATTTTAGTGCACTATGATTTATGGTAGTGATACAGAAATATTTCATATCCAAACTGCTCTACTATATCATGTTATACAGGTAGAAAGAATTCAGGGCATGACATACGTAATAATAATGCTTTATGGTTCTGCAGGCACTTTCATCAATGTTAACTGCTTGACAGCTGCCAGGATAAAACTTGGAGTAAGCACTGTGTTCGCTAAGGCTGCTGTAACTGAGCTTTTATGTTTATTCCCTCGCTCTGAAATAGGTTTTTGATTCTCCGACCTGAATCATTGAAAGCGTGTCATCATTACCAGCCTCAGTCTGGGGCCATATTGTTTCGGAATGCCACTGTATTACTTGTCGTGGGTTTTTAGTGCATCACTGGTAGAGTCATACGTTTAAAGACAAACTTTAATCCGATAAAGACTTAAGAAGTGACAGCACTTCATCTTATGCATTGTCTGTTTTATAATTAAGTTAAAAGCTATGAAGTATCAGGGCCAATGTGGTGGTACATAATTCTAAGAGACCACAGTTTAAAAAAAAAAAAACATCTCAAGGTCCACAAATTATAAGTCACTATATCTGTCCTTCATGAATAATGAAGGAAGAAGTTTATGGGGAGTTTTGTTTGTATTTTTTGGTCTTTTCCTTTATGTAACTTCAGAAAGATGGAGTGTATCATATGTGCTGTCTCTTCTATTAAATCACTTGTAAAATCGCTTAGACTTCCCCTGTCATCTGGTGCACTTATGCAAAATAAATGCGTCCTATGCTCCGGATAAGTGCCTTCCTTTTGGTGAATGTTTTTTAAGCTTTTTAAATTTCATATCCAAGCACAATTTGAAGTGTCACCCTTTCCACTCTAATGGCCAAAGCATTTATTTAGGTGATACCAGCAATGTGTTTTCAAAATATTACAGCTGGAGCCAGAACCATTTTTGCTTTGAGCCCATTTGTTTACAGGATATCAGAGCTATCT